AGTACCAGTCTATGAATTTCGAGTTCCTAGATGAGAATGTCATACTAGTTACATATTGTGAAGAACCTGGCCCGTATGAAGGACCTAAGCCAGGATCCTGATGGACTATGGTTTTTGATGGAGCTTCCAACGCACTTGGTAATGGAATTGGTTTTGTGATTATATCTCCCAAGGGTTTCCATATGCCCTTCACCGCCAGATTATGCTTTGATTGTACCAACAACATGGCCGAATATGAAGCATGCATCATGGGTATCAAAGCTGCTATTGATATGAGTTTTAAGTTCTTGAATGTGTACGGGGACTCAACCCTGGTAGTCAGTCAGATTAAAGGATAATGGGATATGAAACATCCAAATCTCATTTCCTATTGAGAGCACGTGCTGACATTAATTTCGTACTTCGAGGACATCACTTTTGAACATATCCCATGAGAAGAGAACTAGTTGGAAGACGAATTAGCTACCATGTCATCTATGTTCAAAGTCAGATGGGATAATGAAGCTCCTCGAATTACCATTGAGAGACTCGACGAACCGACACATTGCTATGAAGTTGATACTCATGGATTATAGGAAAAGCCTTGGTTGCATGAAGTGAAAAGATATCTCGAGACTCAAGAGTATCTTGAAGGAGCATCTTTCAATGACAAGAAATTCCTAAGGAGGTTCTCTGCCAAGTTCTTTCTGAGTAACGGAATTTTGTACAAGCGCAATCACGATTCAACTTTGCTTCGTTGTGTAGACAAGAAAGAAGCTGAAAGGATCATGGAAGATATGCATGAAGGATCCTTTGGTACTCACATCAGTTGGCATACAATGACTAAGAAGATTCTGAGAGCGGGTTATTATCGGTCGGCTATGGAAACTGATTGTCGTCATCATTCCCAGACTTGCCACAAATTCTAGATTTATGCTGACAAAGTACAATTGCCTCCGGTTCCTCTGAATGTCTTGACTGCTCCTTGGACAACTACAATTTTGGGCATTGATATGATTGGAGAGATCAAGCCTAGAGCTTCCAATGGGCATCACTTCATCCTAGTCTCTATTTATTATTTCAAGAAGTTGGTTGAAGCAGCCTCGTTTGCCTCCGTTACCAAGAATGTTTTTGCCCGATTCATTAAGCATAACCTCGTCTATTGGTATGACATCCCCGAAAGAATTATCACGGACGATGGTACTAATCTTAATAATACTATGATCATGGAACTCTGCATGCAGTTCAAGATAAAGCATCATAATTCTTCTCCGCATCGACCAAAGATGAACGGCGCAGTGGAAGCCGCCAATAAGAACATTAAGAAGATTGTGTAGAAAATTGTTGTGACCTATAAATATTTGCATGAGATATTACCATTTTATCTTCATGGATATCGCACTTCGGTACATACATCAACTGGGGAAACCCCGTTCTCTCTAGTTTACGATATGGAGGTTGTCTTACCTGTCGAGGTCTAGATTCCTTCTGTAAGGATTATGAAAGACGCAGGTTTAGATGAAGACAAATGGATTAAAACTACGCTTGACCAGATAAATTTGATTAACGAGAAATGACTTGCGGCTGTTTGTCATTGTTAGATGTATCAGAAGCGCATGATCAAAGCTTTTAATAAGAAAGTCAAGCATCTGGTATACCAGACTGGTGATCCGGTAATACAGCGTATCATTCTACCACAAAGTGATTCCAGGGGAAAGTGGACTCCTACATACGAAGGCTCATTTTTTATTAAGAAGATATTTTCTGGTGGTCCTATGATGGTGACCACCATGGCCGGTGAATATTTTCCCCACCCTGTGAATGCAGACATAGTCAAAAAATACTACGCATGAAAGAGACCCGTTGTTGACTGGCCTAGACAAAAATAAAGGCATCCCGACAAACCAAAAGGGTTTGGGAAAAAATTAGGGATATATATATATATATATATATATATATATATATATATATATATATATATATATATATATATATATATATATATATATATATATATATATATATATATATATATATATATATATATATATATATATATATATATATATATATATATATATATATATATAACTGTACAAGGCAAGTCGAAAACCTGAAAAGGTGGCTTTGGCAAAAAAGGGTATCCCGATTGGCTGAAAACCTAAAAGAGCGGTCCAAGAAAAAGTTAAGGATTAAAGCGTACGACTATGTCCCCTTGGATCACCTACTTATAGAAATCTTCGTTATCAACGTCAAGTTCGAAAGATACAGATCAATTCAATCAACTTCTTCCGACATCAAGGGATGAGATGCTCGAAGATAGAGGGGAAATAGCATATTTGAAACTCGATGGGATCATTTCCACATAGTTGTTTTCCGCTGTTTTACTTTGTACTCTTTTCCTTTTATGACAATTTCCTCTTACTAGGATTTCTGTCTCTTTGTACAAAACCGCCTATTTATAGGAAAATTATCAATACAAGTCGAATTCAAAAATTCAAATTTGCTTTACTATCCCTGCTTTGTTTGCAAAAATGTCTAATGACTAAATTGAATGAACATATGCATTTGAATATGATTATTGTTAACAAATATATGCATAAAAACAGGAATAAACATTTACTAAAGGCTCTAGAAGTTAGGATAGTGTTCAAGTCGTCTATAAATCCCTGCAGAGCTTCCTTCACAACCTAATCCCCAACAAATACATTCCTCGGCAAGTCTAATATGCCTTCAGACAGAAATTGGGGCATCTTTTAGCAGTTCACATGATCATCTCCCCGAGTAGGTCTCCTAGCGTATAAGAAAGCTTATTCATTTCCCCAACATACGGTGGAAACTTCCTCTGCACAGCCTATGAAATTCCAATTCCCACCAGAAATTATTTCCTTAATACAGTCTACAAATTTAATTCCCTAACAGAGTTTATTTATCCAACACTGTAAAATCCCCTGCAAAATTCTCTTCTCTAGCAAGGTTTATTTCCCCAGCAGGGTTTTTTTCCCCAACAGGGCTTATTTCCCAAACCGAGGTTATTTCTCTGATTATCGCAATTCCCCGACAGGATTCTCTTCCCGAGCCAGATGTCATTCAACTTTATCCTCCCCATAAGAGTTGATATCCACACGTCAAAGGATCATCCACTTCTTATATCCTCAAACAGAAGTCGAATGTCCCCAATGGAGTATCCTCAAACAGAAAGTCGGAATCCCCGGTGAAGACATTCTAAACAAGATGGAAGATTCATATTCTTCATCCCCAGCAATAGCCAGGGATTTATTTCCCCAGACAAGGATGTAATACAAAGCAACGAACATCTTACATCCATACATCATTTACAAAATATCTTAACATATGCATACGAAACACATGCAACACTCTCATTTACTTTGAGAACATCAGTACGCAATGCATTACATACATTATGACATTGCATACAACTAAATTTTCTTTGTTTCAGGTTAGTTCGCAATAGATAAACATTATCAACAATTTATCATTCTTTAGATACAATCAATCGACGATTCCTTCTGATGATCTTTTGGATACAGTCAGACGTAGACTCATTCCAACACAGATTCTAGATATAGTACAGATACGGCCGAGACATAGATCTATTCTGATACGCATTCTGGCACATATTCCAGATATACTCCAGATACGGTCAAAACATAGGTCCATTATGATACTCATGCCAGTATATCTTCCAGATACCGTCCAGATACGATCCATACATAGGTTCATTGTGATATTCATTCCGGTATACACGTAGATACAGCCAGGCATAGGCTTTTTCTAATATAGATCTCAGATATAGTCAGGCATAGGCTCATTCTAACATAGATCTTAGATACAGTCAGGCGAAGACTCATTCTGGGTCGCTTACAGATACAGTCGAGACATAGACTCATTCTAGGACATCATTCAGATACAATCACGACACATGGTTCATTCTGATACTCCCCAGTACGTCTACTAGATACAATCGGACACAGACTCATTCTAACATACTTCCCAGATACATTCAATCAAAGACTCATCCTGATGCTCCTAATGGCATCTCTAAGCCCATTCAAGCAATATTATCAACCAACAGTGGCACTGCATGCACAAGCGAGTGCAAATTTCTGGGCACTTAAGTGTTCAATCATCTTTTACCTTCAGATCACAAATGGTAGACATGCTAATCTATCTCTTCAGGTTTAAGAAGATTGAACAGGGGTAACTGTTGTACCCAAAATTTTTCCTGCCCTTTATTTCTATGGTCAAGAATATTTTCAACACTGGTTTTATAATATTTTTTGTCTTTATAAATATTCGCTTTCGAACCTATTTAAAAATATAATGATTTATTTCAGATCATTTGTATTTTTAAATAAATAAATATTTGCTCCTCTTCATGTATTTTTAATTAGCTTTTTTATTTCAAATAAATAACATAGCTCAGTTGGTAAAGAATGAAACTTGCAAATATAAGATTGCAGGTTTGCAAATATAACATAGCTTTTTTATTTGAGCCTTTTTTTTATTTTGGGCTAGCTTTTTTTCCAAATTTGTAAACCTAATTAAAATTTTATAAATAGGATTCATTGTGTCCTAATTTTTCATCAACAATTCTCACATAATGTTTTTTTTACGTATTGGCTAACTTCTAATCTAGTGATACAATATTTACTTATTTTTCACAACTAACACATAAATCTTCAAAGTTACAATCGTAACATCACAGGATCCAAACCAATTCACACTGTATCACAGAGAAATAATGTTACTATGTCTGGGTAAGAATTTGAACATTGGTTTTTTTTTTTCTCCTTGCAGTATCCAAGTAAAAGAAATACAAGAACATAAGAAGAAGCGGAAATTCTCGAAATCCCCACAACTTCTGGCGCCGAACACTGCCCAACCCACCCTCTATTTCAAAGCAAAGCAAGCAGCACGCTGGTGCCGTTTCTAGATCCACCACTGACCGAACTGCTTCCCGATGACTCGCCCTTCACGTGCAAACACGCCGCTGAATCATGCACAGCCGCAACAAGCATCCACCTGATCTGCGATTCCACTCCCTCCATCCACTCGCAAGGCCTCTGCGAGTCTCCTCTTCCCCATCGTTATCACCGCCATCAATCATCCACGCCGGAACTCCAGTCCACTCCAGCACCACGCAGCATCACGGATGGCAACCAACACCATTCAATTTCGGTATCCGCGCCTCTCTTTGCTTTTATAATAATTTATTCTGTTAATCTTGTTTTGTATTTTGAGTATAAGAAAAATTAAGGCTTGTATCCGAGGAAAAGATAAATTGGTGTTTTCTTTTTACAAAGAAGAAGAAAGAACGAGGTGTTGAGAAGACCGAGAGAGTATGGCATCGAAAGAAGGAATAAGTTAGAAGGATATTCTCTTAATATTCGTAGATTCAATTAAGTTTGAAAAGGCCCATGACTTGTTGTTTTATCTAAAACGTACAGGTTTTATTGTGTTGTGCGCACCCTACCAAAACAAGCACGCCCTTGGCGCGGTGGTAAAGCGCGTGGTTAGGAAAACTAAGGGCGTCCACCCCTGGCATTTTGCCTTATTTTTCTTCTAACTTGTTTTTTTCTTCTTAATTTCTTCTCTAATACTTTCTCTAACCGTATTTTCTAACCCTAATTCCACTTAACCATAAAATAACAAAATATTTTTTGTAAATCTTAAAAATAATTAGGTTTTAGATTTTTTATCATTAACCTTTTAATTAATTTAATTAATTGATTTTCTTATTAATTAAAATTAATTAACTTTTTAGGTTTACTTTAATCATTATCAAAAAAAAATTTTTTAATCAAAATCGCCAAAAAAACATTTCTTTCCTATTTTCATCTTGTTTTATTTTCTTAGATAAGTTGTATAGGTTCGCCATTGTAATAATGTAGTCTATTTTTTTCGCATTTTTCCATTACTATGTAACTGCTCCTGGATGTAATAACTTAGGATTTCTTTTCCGCACTGTCTATTATGTATCTGCCACAAAGCGATGTAATAATTTAGGTTTATATTTTCTACCTTTACTTTCTGCACCTTTACTTCTTTTTATATTTATTATATTACTGCTTAGTAATTAGGGTTGTATGGCAAGATAAAACAAATTGCTAAAAAACCTAAATTCAAAGATAAATAACTGAAATTAACACACTCCCACACTCGAACCTTTGAGGTAGCCTCCCTTGTTGCCTTCAGAAAGCAGTCATGTCCCTCGAAAATAGAGACTCTTTAGCAAAGACCCTCGAGTAAAAGATCACAGTCCCTCGATGACCCTTTCGATGTTGCCTTTCGATAAATGATCTACGATGACCCTCGCTTGTCCCCTCACATCCAACGACAGGGCTTCCTACTAACTAATGGTATGGATAACATTATCTAAAAGAGGAGGAAAAGTACAAGGACGACCTTGAGTGGGTAGAACTCTTAATCGCTTGCTCACAAAGCTCTTTAAAACAAAACATTTCACACAAACACTTTCAAAGATATTTTCAAAAAGCTTTGCATACACTCTTGAGGACAGATACAAAAGTTATTACAAAGTTTCTCCTTACATTGACAAAATTATAAAACATTTTCAAAACACACACACACAAAGGAATTTTTAAAGTGAGCTAAGCGATTAAGAGCTCGTAGATAACTACAGATGAAAATGGTGCTAACACCTTCCCTTTTCATAACCTACCCCCGAACTCAAAATCTATCAAGGTCTTTCCTATTCTTTTCACCATTTCCTTATTGGATAAAAGAAAAGTCGAGGTGACTCTTGCTATGCGCGACATTTGCGATAAAACGCAAAAACTAAGTCAGTTCTCCCACCGTATTACAAATAGCAAAATATTAAGCGGTCCCGGTCTAGAATATGTATCCAAGTATCAACGCGATAATAAACCATAAATTGGAATGTGTTTCATACACATCTAAGTACCAACAAATACTTGGTCTAAATGCAGTATAAATGTACAAACCTAAAAGCATTGATCAAGATTCAAAAAGGAAATGATACTTCATGTGCAAATTAGCAAAACTGGGCTACACCTTATTTATGTTAATATCCACCAAAAGTGACTTGAAAATTATGGTTTTAATATTCCCAAGCTATATATTAACACAAATAATTAAGTTGGAATTGATAAAGGAAAATGTATCCGCGAAATTAACATAAAAGTGTCATTTCCAAACTTGGAAAAAATCAAAAGCTCATATGTTAATTTCACACTTTTGATGCATAACAAGACTTGACATCAACACATAAACTTCTCTTTAATTATAAAAAGTATTGACATTGGAATTGGTTGAGTTTGAAGAATATAGAAACATCAAAACCTCAACAAAAACTCCATTAATTGAATTAAAGAAGCATTTTCAAACAATTAAACTCAAACATTTTTTTGGCTTATTCTTCAATTCAATTTATAGTGAAAACTTAACTCATGGGATTATGTGAACAACACTTCTAAAACAACACGAATTTCCAAAATTCAACATAACCTCATGAATTCAACCAACTCCAACTCTTTTCCTAATTGACAAGTCAAGAATATTCAATTAACACATGAAAGTTGCAAGCCTAGCACAACATTATTCAATATTTCTCTCTCTTTGGAATTTTCACAAACACATAACCTTCACAAAATTTGACACATGATTTCAACATTTAAAGAATAGAGATTATGTCAAGTGTATGTGATATCAAGAATCGATAGTTAAGCCACAACAACATTAACACTTTGAAATTTGAATAAGCACTTTTCATGAAAATCACTTAACCAGATAAGTGCTTATTCCAACTATCCAATTCCAGATTTCAACAACATTATCTTAATTCAATTCACAATCAATAATTGAATTCACTTTCTAAATTAATTTCTCACATTAAAATTCAATTCAAGAACTCATACAAAAGCACTTATTCACAAAAAATGATTATGTAAAAAGCAATTAAGCTAGAGAACTTACCAAAAATTGAAGAGGAGGTGAGAGTGTGAGGCATGGTGGAGAGAAAGAGGAAGCCTTAAAGTTTTTTTATGATTTTGCACTTGAAGCTTGATGATGATGTGATGAAGTTGTTTTTGTTCTTCAATAAAAGTGAGAGAAAAAGCGTATTTGATTTGAGAGAAGAGTGAGAGAAAAGTGAGAAGTGTTTTTGGTGAGTGTGTAATTACGAGAGAGAAAAATATATAGTGTGGGATAATGGGCCTTGGATGTATAATTGGATTGTGCCTCATTTTGACAATGTAAGCATAACGCGACTATAAAATGCCACATCATTATAGGTGCAAAATCTCGGCCTAATCTCAACACAAAAATCGAAGATTACAAAATTGGTGATGCGGTGCCGAAAGAACAGGCTCAATCAGATAAACGATAAGAGAGTTAAAATTTTTTGAAGGTGCACTGACACTGTCTCAAACAAACTTATTTCGTTTTTCTAAAATGTTTACCGTTTAGTTCTGAAAGAATGTCGCGAACGAAAATCCTATGATCCAAATCCGAACTCGGGGTATGAAGTAAATTCGAAGCTAACAAAATTTGTGAAATCATGCCGAAAGAACTATTGCGATACGATACAAGTGAAAGAAGATACGAATTTTACAATATCGAAAAACGGTGTAAGAGAAATCTGATTTGGCATAATTATTTCTCTAGCAATCCATAATTTCAGGGGCTTTCCTTAATGAATTGATCTTGGACCCGAACATACGAAATGAAGATGACATTAAGACATAATTTTGGCCACAAGAACCACTTGAATATGGTACTCCAGCCAGAATTTTTGAATTTTTGAATGCCCGCGAAATTATGGTTCAGCACGGTATTTTCACTATTTTCTCATTTTTTTCTCTTCAAAGTATATGCACGTTTGGAAATATTCCTCAAAGAATTGGCTTTCGATCCGAACATGAAAGTTGATGGAGATAACAAGATGATTCTAACACCTCAAAAATCGCTCCAAAACAATACTTCAATAAGAAGTTATGAATTTTGTAGTGCTCGTGTACGACGGACCAACAAATAAATTCAGTACATTGTCTTCAAAGTACTAAAATTCTCGAAGGTTTTCCTCACAAAGTTAACCTTAAATATGAACACAAGAAACAATAAGAAAATCATGATAGTCTCAATGCTCGAAGAATCAAATGAAAATATTGTATCGGGTGAAATTTACGACTTTCCAAACACTTTGGAAACAGATAACCAGTCATTAAATTCAAGTGTCGCTTCAAGGAAATAAAATTATTTGGAGACATTTTACACATAATTGGCCTCTGGCTTGAACATATGATGAGGGGAATACTGAGATGGTTCCAATTCCTGAGGAATAAACTTGAAACAGTATCCAGATTACGAGATGCGAGTTTCTGAGCTTAAACTAGCAAAAATGTTGTTTCTGGTTCACACTGTCCCGAATTCATCGAGACAGTCAATTTTATTTATCGTTCAAGGCATGCTAGAGAACACAGGATCTTAGCATGAAGGTAATCAAACTACTCACTAATAAATATCCTGGAGAGTGTTTGGAGCACGTAAATCAATGAAATAAACGTCTTCTATAACACGATAAGGCTTGAAAGAAACACCTTGATCCCATAACCATAGAACCAATGATATGCATGCACACGAGAAATAAATATAATCCAAATAGAGTAAAAAGAAGAGGGAAAATTTTGGGGTGAAACACTCATCATCTGGAGAAATATGTCAGATAAGATGTCCTATGTAGAGTCTTCGACATCGTGCATGTGTTGGGCTGGACAATTGGATCAATTCAAGATTTAACAGATGCACAATATTATGGGAATATTATACTATCCTATATGGCGCAGTTTTATTAGTATGGAAGATTCAATTTTGAATCAAGAAGAATATTGACTTTCTAATTAAGGAGATAAATTAGGAAAGATTTACTTGAAGACCTATTTTGTAGCAGAAGTTTCTGCTGAGTTGTAGCAGCTGATATGTTGTGATTTGAAGCCCAAATCCAGTTGGGAAAAAGGTTATAAATAAAAGAATTATAACCTAGAAGAAGGAACCATCCGTGAATGAAAATATGTAGTTATTAGGGTTTAGTCTGTGTGCCACTCTCTAGGAGATTTGGTCTGTGTTCTCCTCGAAGCTGTGAAGCAAGAGTGAGCATTGTTCTTGGAGGAAGCTTTTAAGCACCTCCAAGTTGTGATCTTAGTCAATAGTCTTGTCTAGGTATTGTCATGGAAGTGTGTCTTCT